TATTTTTTTTTTTTTTTTTTTTTGCTGTTAGATTGTTAAAATTGCACATCTGTCGCTCTAGGAAAGTCCGATGACTTCATATTAAATTGTTAGCGGATAGGGATTTGAATATTAATAGCGAGATTAATACGTTCGAGAATTCAAATTAAGTAAAGATAAAGAGATTTGTTTCTTTCATATACATTATTAGTCGATGGATAGTTAAGGATAGTTAAATCCTTTAATAGGACTACGCAACCTTCTTAGTGGCTGAAATTCCCCGCCTTTGATACAATCTGTTGCAAGTTTGTTTTTATAACTTATAACTCGTGTAACTGGGGTTAATAATCGAACGATATGCGATCCTATGCATCTTTTGCATCTTATCCAAAAAAATAATGTCCATCAAAACGATTTCCAACAAGTTCCAATGCGATAAAGTTGTACTTTGATGGTACTTGGAGTGTGCACTAACTTGATAAAAATAGAACATTTGACATTTGCGTACACGCCCACTAGACGGCCATCTTCATTCATTCACTTTGCTTTTCCGTAAATCTATCTAACTGTCATCGGGTTACACATCGAGTTGGTGCTATTCCCTGAGTGGTTGATGATATAAGAGAAGGGGGAAAACCAAAGCATTAATATTTTAATAAAAAGGAAAATCGTGTTCTAGAATTTTTTGCGTTAACCTTAACCTGCACACATGTTTCTATAACAACTTCTACCACAATGTGCCGCTGATGGGAATCATGAAAATGTTATTGTTTGCGAACAGCAAAGTGAACTGAAGTTAATAGCTCGTGGAGAAATGATCAAAAGTGATCCGGTGCGTCCTTTCCTGCAATAATATGCACAGTTCTTCAACACACCTCTGTTTCAAAGTTTGAGTTGATTTATTCTTTCCTATCCAGGATACGTGATTCCTTACTGACGATGACTGACCTCTGAGACTAAAAAAAAGTTGTTCGTAAGATAAAAGTAAGATCGTATATTACTAAATAAAAGAAGCTAAATTATTAATATACGATATTTTACATTCTATTCTTACCATTGCATGCAATCTCTACATATTTGAGAGAAACTCGATACATATATCTGTTACCGATGCGATATGCCCCCGGTATGCCGAAGATTTGCAATCGCATTCTGTCATTACGACCGGTTACTAGTGATGATGTAAGACAATATTTTTTCTTGGCGTATGTTTTTATACCATGCCGCCGATCAGATTTTTATGTAATTTTGTATCATTAATTAAAATAAAATCGTTCAGCATCAATTTCGCTATAGGAGAATATGGCTAAGGGACGAAAACCCCCCAAAGATGTTGCCCAGAATGGAGCTGTTGTGCTTCTATAAAACGTACTTATTAGACGCCACATACAATATGTATCCATATCCCTCTGCAATCATGCATAATGAAATGGTTCGAATGGGTTCACTACCGCGCCCATAGTTAACAAAACATATGCAGTACTTATGTTCCGGCTGAAGGTGAAAGTTGGTCCGAATCCGCCAATATATATTTCTTAGACATTACCAACATGCTGATCGTATAATTGTAAGCGAATTTATGAATCGATTTTACTGTATTTTGTACCCACAAAACGAAACTTCCGAGACCCTACAAAGTATATGTATTCTTGATCAGCGTGAAATTCTGAATTGAACACGCCATGTCTGTCTGTCTGTCTGTGTGTCTATGTGTCTGTGTGTCTGTGTGTCTGTGTGGTGTATATTGTTGACACTCTCTTTGTCAAATTTTCCAAAAGCATTGAAAGTCTTTGCACACAGGTTGCTATTGAAAATGGGCCAAATTAGTCAAAGCCCAAGCCTGCAGTGAAAAGCAAACTGAATGCAAATCCGATTTCTTTTGAACGAATATTTGTGGTTTTTTGCTCATTACTAAAAAATTATGAAAGAAGAAGAAGCAGATGGCCGAAATTTTCCATACATACTTAAGAAAAAACTCTACTAACGAAGATCGAAGATTAAATTTTCATTTTTTTCACTTTTTGGAGATTTTATGCTTACTTATCATAAGGCAAAGAAGACAAGAAAGTTTAAAACGCATTTGTACACTTCTCCAATGAAGAATGAATGTTATCTGCCTAAGAATGCGTTAATTCTAAAAAGCGAAATATGGTAGACAGCACGGTCTGATGGATTAATTTTTCCTTAAAAAAAACCGGACTTGAATAGGAGAAAGCGATAGGATACGTTAATGGTGGTGCGCGTCGAGACGTAGCGGATTCACTTTTTTGTTATAACACTGTTGATGTTGATATCACATAAAAGGGCTCGGATAGTAGAATGCTAAGCTAAGCTAAGTGTGTTAAACTAATTGTCGTCGACGTCACGACATGGTGGACTCATTTCTCTTAGCAAAGCCCTTTTTAAGGGATAAATTTTATCCCATTCACTCTCTTATGCTAATTAATACAAGCATGGGCCGTTAAATATTTTAATAGCGGTGGGTATGCGATATTTCGGTCCTAGGTGAATATAAATTTTTTACTTGTTCAATTTGAGTAGAAAAAAAGTGTTTATCCTAAATAAAACTAAATTGAATTCATTATTCATTTTAAAGCAGAATGTACAAAGAGTTTGAAGGAGTCCGATGCCGAAAAACATAGTCCAGTAATGATTTCAACTCAAACCGAAAAGAATGGGTTAAGGAGAAAGCAAATATGTTGAGTTATGGCAGAGAGGCGACTAGAAATGAATCCGACGAAATTCCATTCGAAAAGGAAGTCTATTTATTATTAATGGATTCCCTTTTGCATTGAATAAATAATTTTATTAAAATAAATTTCGTGTGTCTCGCTTCTTGTGTGTGTGTATAACAAAAATCAATATTGAAATTTAATCCCAATTAAAAGTTTATGCATATATGATACATGCATACATGCATATATGACACATATCTTTATATATATATATATATATGTATATATGTTTTGCACCTTCATAGCATAATGGTGTTTATCAGTTAAACTTACCTCGCTGCAACAGGTGTTATTATCCATAAATAACCGTTTGTGTTGCGCTCTAATGCTGAACAAGGCTGCGTACGATGATAGGGAACATAAGCCTCACGTATTGGTATAGTGAAGTCGCATTGCTGTATTTGTGACAATTGCTGTTCCTGTCTATGAATACCGTTTAATTTATGAAGACTAGTACATGAATTATTCATGATAACATTTAAGTCGCTTTGTATAGATGGTACAGATGCCCTGCGATCATTCTTGGCAGTTACCGTTGCTAAAGGAGAATCAGCAAATCCTGTCGCTGGTATGCTACCAGATATTGTATTTATAACGCCAGACATTGTCGTTGCGGCGCGTTACCACAATTATTATTATTATTATTATTATTGTTATTATTGTTATTAGAAATCTTTCGTTCCACGACCTTTTTGCTAATCGTATTACTTGGCTTGTTACGTTTAATATTGTACAGTTGATGTAAATCTCCATGGGATATATTGCTGACAGCGTATTACGAGGAAAAGTGGCGTGGCGTGTGAAAGTGAATTAAGAAGAATTCTTTATGGAATTCGTTACAATTATATATAGCACACTACGCTTTATCACAAAAGAAAGGAACATGTACTGCGTACGATACAATGAGTTGATTGTTGTCATCATTATTACTATTACTGTTATTCTTTTCTTTGATTTACGTTAGCGGCTATTAAGCATTAAAGTGTGTTTAGCATTATTTCGCATTCTTAACTATGTTGCTAATATTTTTGTTGTCATTATTATTATTATTATTATTATTATTATTATTACTGTTGTTGTTGGTATTGTTAATGATATTTTCTCAACGTGAAAGGTTCGCACTAATGATTGCTGTTGACCTATAACGTCAGCATTTTTTACATCTTTCTTTGGGGGTTTTTTTTTTTTTTTTTTTTTTTTTACTTCTTTTCTCACTGTTGTTATTGTTCGTTTCCTGTGGGTAAATTAGCGTCAAGAACAGATTTTAAAACGGCGTTATGGTTCACATTGTCTACAGCACAGGCCGTAACATTAGCACCAACACACTCTTAACATTATATAAATTGTACCATGAAAAAGCCACACGAAAAACCTTTGGCACCCGGGGGATAATCGCGCATAATTTTTTCACTCGTAATTTATCCAGAAATCTCCCCGTTACCATTACTGCCATTGCCACTAGTGTTGCTGTCGCATCTACAGTCACGACTATTACATCTTTACTTTCCTGGTACTACTACTACTACTACTACTACTACTACTACTATTACCGGCAGTGATTTAAATAGAGTGACTGCATAAAATTTAGGTCATGCACTGCTATACAAAATCACTGGCACTTTCCTAGATACCACTAAGTATGCTCTAATGATTTAATGAACAACAAAGGCAAATGTTTAGTTTTTATGTAGATTCGTGTTATTAAGCTAATTTTTAATTTAATTGTTTTAAAAGTCGAAAACTTTTATATATAAAAAATTCAATTATACTTCTATTCAACTTTTATTCATATTCATAAAATAATTCATTATTAAGTCCACGGGGAGTTACACATACCCAGTTGCGCTAAGGTATTTAGATTTTTTTGTTTTTTTTTTTTATATCTATATCTATATATATATATATATATATATATATGTATGTATGTGTGTGTTTGTGTATGCGTGTGTATATGTTTGTTGCTTATGAGTTAACGAGAGTATTTGGGCTTTACGAAATTATAATATGTGCGTATATTTACACATTTGCTTTCTTTTATTCTAATGAAATTATAAAAAAAAAGAAAGAAAAAAAAGCAAAAAAATGAAAAAAAGAAAAGAAAAAATAGAAAAATTCCAAACTCTGAAAAACATAACAATAAAAGAGAATGAAAAATATAAAAATATCCCGATGGAATATGTACGTATGGCAATCATTGTATGTCAGCATTTTACACAAGTGGTCATTAGAGTACGTACTGTTCTCCGTTCTCCGTTCTCCGTTCGCTGATGGCATTAATTTGATTAGGTACATGTGTGCAGATATGTGCGTACAAGAGCATACAATAAATACCTAAAGTGAAATTCATTTCGAATGCATTGCATTGCTTTTGCGAAACTATTTTATATATGTGTAGGTACACTTAAGCGGTTATATGTGCGGCGGTTGCCATAGCAAAAATACAAACACTTATGCTCTCATTCATTCTCATTCGTTGACTTGTAAACTTGCTTTTTCTAAAGGATCAAAACTCTATTTACACATACACGCATACTTATATAAGTAGATATTTATGTTCATTATACGCCGTGCGTTGCGGTTCACATTTTGCTAAATGAGTTGAACACAATTCAAAAAGCGAAAGATAAGAATTTAATTTTTTATATAAAAAAGAAATTCTGCCGGTCTTCTATTTCACTTAAGCATAAGCATATCATCCATAATCAACATAAGCGTAATTTCTCATTACGATTTTAATCATAATGAAGGGAATCATCACTTTGTTATTATTATTATCTTTTCTTATTTCTTAATTTTGTTTTTTTTTTTCTTTTTCCTTTTATTAAGAAATACTTATACAGTATAGTTAAAGCAACAAGTAAAAAATAAATATGTTTACGTGAATCCAGATTAAATTAAACAATTTTAATAGTTTTTAATTAAAATTAATATTAAAAAAATAATCTTAAAAAAGATATTACAAGCATTATAAAGTACGATTTGTTTATATTAGTTTGGGGAAAAAGAAATCCATTATTTTTATATGAACTTCAGGACTTTATTTAACATGCTTTGGATATCAAAAAAGTAAACTCTAAGACATCGTACAACCCTTTGCCTAATAAAATTCCCCAATTATTTTCGTGATAAAATATATCAGTAATTATATCTCGTTATACCCTACAACATTGGCATTGTGATAATGGTATGTAAGGCAGAAGGGAGTAAGATAAGGGATATTTTTAAATTGTTTCAATCTGAGGCACTAACGGGTTCAACTTGACTTATTCTTAATTAGGTAGTCGTTGCGCGAACGCCGGACACATGAACAAAATAGTCAAACGGACAGATGGACAGATTTGCTTCGAATCGATCGATATTATTAAAGAAAAGTCCATCTTAACTTTTTCTGGGTGTGCAAACATACATCCGTGCAAACTTCATATATGCTCCACTGCTACAAGTGTTACGGCATATATATATGATAACTATAAAGGTAAGATAGACAGAATAATGAATAAGTATACCCTTTTATTTTTCATATCAAGTTACGCTATTTTTTTACCGTATATAACATTTTGGTACCTTTTTAGTAAGCATATATGGATTGAAAAAGGATTAGGACTATAGCTACTCTTTAATGTATATGTATGGACTATAGCTTTCGGAATAACGATTAGAAGTTTGGAACTTTGAACAGTGCAAGTCAGACAAGCCAAATAAAATCTATTCGAAATTACACGCTCTGATCAGGAATATTTATATTTTGCTTATATATATATATATTTTGTCAAATTTTTCTTGCCTCCTTTCGAATTGAGAAAGGGCAAGAATAACATAAGCAAGAAACAATATATTCCTCTGTCGAGGGTGGCTTTGGAAACTCGCAATTGTTTTCCGACTGCTAACATATGTCAATAATTCCAACCATTCTTGCGTTTAATATTTAAATGACTCTTATCGGTGCAGATGTGCCGTGTACTTTACATACTTTTTGTGGGCATACTTGTTACGTTTTTTTCGGAAAGTAACAGCAGATCAAAAACGAATATTTAGAGGTATACATATTGCATTGTTTTCCCGGTCCGGCAATGAGAAAGAAATCATAAATGAAATGAACGAAAACGCATTTATTTCTCATAAATTCCTGATAATTTTTTTCGTCGATATTCGAACTCCTTTATCCGAAAAGTTGATGTAAAATGTCACGCATGCCATGTCGAGAGGCATAAAATTTATTGAGAGAAAAGTTTTAATGAACCCCGTAAATTGTCCATCAGTCCAGATCAGTTGCTGTAATGTTATGGTATATATGGTATATCGTCGTCCGTGGTCGTATTGATTTATTTCAACAAACCGCAAATTTTTGATGATTATATAATCAATATTATAAGTAGAATATTAATATAATATTATTGCTAAAATAGATATGCATAATTAGTGTTAGTAAAAAATCCAGAGGACATTATTATTTACATGAATTCATTCATTTTGATGAATAAAAATGCGAAAAATTAAAATCTAAAACAGAAATGAAATGCGCACAAAAAACAACTTATTTGGTGAAGCAATTCATTTACATTTGATTTTTGATAATTGCGAACTGACTGACTCTCTCTATGCAAATTAACATATTTTAAATGTTAACAGAATTTGTAGAGAAAGTTCATAGAGAGTTCATAAGCTAAGCAAAGTGTGAAGTGAAAAAATCAGTGCGGTAAACTTTCGTAAACGCGTTTTGCCATAGTTGAACTTTAATTCTATGGTAATCGACGGACAAATAAAACTGAAGCCAAATACGCTTTTTAACATTCAAACATTTGAAGTGAAGTGTGTTTCCTGTGTTGGGTACAAATATCGCGGTTATCTTGCAAACAAACTTGCAAACCTTGCATAACCTCTCTGCTTCCCAGTTTACTATCCGCGTTGTTTAACTAGCAAATGCATTTGGATGAATGATCGATCGCATTAAGATTTACGATTTCGAATCCGACATGCACACATTCACGTTTTCCACGTATTATTTTGAAATTAAAATGAAACGTCATTGAAATGGTTCCGGTTCGTTTCTTTCGCATGGAAAACGTGTTTATATATATTCAACTATCAACTTTTAACGTCATTTTAAGATTCAAAGTGAAAATTTGATCTTTGTGAAACTTTTTTCTTCTATTGCAAGCATTTTTTAAGTGCCATTCATTTCAAATTGAAAAAAGATTCTATTACCGTTTGTTGTTTAGTGCTGCCGACTGCATGATTGCGAGAATAGATGGTTAAATTTTCAAATTTTTAATTTACTCTTATCAACTGAGCAATTTCTCGATTGTAACTCTATATTGGTAATAAAAAAATCAAAAAAAAAAAAAATCAAAAAAATAAAAAAAATAAATGATAGAAAATACTTGACAGAAGCACTCGAAAAACTTCTGCTTTGAAAGAAAGAAAGAAAAAAAAAAAATCGAGATTTTTCATAGTTTTTATACACCACCCCCATCGAACGAAGGAAAAGTATTAGTTTTCGTATTTCGTGTGTGGCAAACAAAATAAAAGGAAAAAAAAAAAAAAAAAAAAAAAAAAAAACGAATACAATTCGCATCTGTTAAACTATCTCCGTCTGTTCAGCATTTGTTGCCGAGACTTTCATCATTTCAGGAAAAAAAAAAAAACAAAAAAAAACATTCAGATAAAAGGTTAAAACTTCGCCTACATATTCCTATCTTAACTTAACTTTTACTCACAAATAAAACGATAAACAAATCGGTAGAAAAAAGTATAGCAAATAAAGTTTTCAAACCATCGCTTGCCATAACACACACAATGAAAATATATCTGCATAACCTTGCACGAATATTTGTAAAGATCATGTAAACGTTTCATACAAATGTTGTGCGGATTA